AGTAAATTTTATCTTGCGTACATCTAAATCTCGTGTTAAGAGGTGAGAAAAAGAGAACGCTAATATCTCAGCAAAAATAATAATGGGATGTTTCCCCGTATCGCACGCTTTTATCGATAACGCATCACTCGCTTTACATGCATGCCTGTAAATATTGACGGAAAAATAAGTTTTACAATATCTCAAATCACATACGTGACAATATACGGTGGAAATTATGGATAAATCGGATATTGCAATCATCAATCTCTCGCGTGTATAATTCCTTCCCGAATAAATTTATTATCCATCATTTTCCGACAAATATACTTTTCGCGCAACGTAACGATATTCTAAATCAGTATAAGTAAAAGTTTTTATATTGATATTAGACTTATGTATAATAAAGTCATTATCATTTATAAAAAAATATATATAATGATATAACACTTCAAAATATATATAATGATAATTTCGTGTGTAATTTCATCGTTACTCATTAAAAATGTAAATATTGTATAAATATTTTTAAGCCTAAACTTATTCCCGATTAAATTCTAAACTCTACTTTCGTAATCATATGTTTCAAATGTCGCGTGTTCTTGTATCCATCACACATCAAGGTCAACTCTCTGATTTTCGAAGTGAAAGAACTGTTGAACATTTACGCAAGAGTTGCCTAATCCTTTTATCGTTCAAAATAGCTTCTAACTGGATCAAGAGAAAGAGAGAGTTTATCGTAGAAACACATCTATTATAAGCAATATTAAGATACACTTGGATGTGAGTAAAACAAACAGATCGTGAATACAGCAATGTAAAAAAAATATTAATACAACATATTTATAAAAAAAAAAGAAAAACTGTAAAAAATTGCAAAATAAAAGTACAATATTTCGTAACTGTATGCATTTTGCTTTCAGTTGAGAGGCAACTGATATTAAAAATATTTAAAAATACCCATATATGTGCGACAAAAGAGAAATACCTATAAAACAAATCATTCAAACAAATTTTTGCTAAAAAATAATGGCTCTTAAATTAATCGAAAAAATCATAAGCGGAAATGTAAAAAATCTGCGACATTCCATATTTGATCAAATCGGGACATATATGAGGATTACGTCGCATTCGATAGTCGTTAAAGATTTTTCTTAAGACTCTGTGCCGTTTCTTCCGACAAGTCGGAAAAACTTAAAAGCATTCGCTAATGTCCTTATCATCAAAGATGCCACTTTCGATGGTACTTGCTCTCCCGAGCTTAATGCTCTTATGACATTCAACTTTACTACATATACCGTAGAAATGCAATACTATGCAGCACGCGAAACACTGTCATAAACGTTTATTTGCATATATATCAAACGATAGTTCGATATTAAGAGCACATGCAAATAAGCGTTTTATGCATAATTTATCAACAACATTCATAAATATCTACTCGTTTTGCGTGAATGTGACGTAGGAGTGCGAGTGACGCATCCACTTTACACATTATAAAGTTCTCCAATTTTCAAACTGTGTACAAAAGCATTTAATCTCTTTTGTCTCTCGCACAACTTATGCGCGTCATAACTTTCTCTACTTTATGTAATATAAAGCACGATGGAAAAATCAGAAATTATAGAATTTTAATTTTAATTAACTGCTATTGCTCATAAGAATAATGGAAAGACTGGAACTATTTTCTTTACAAAACAAAGTTGCGTGAATATATAAATTATTGTAAAATCACACATCAAGGTCAACTCTCTGATTTTCGAAGTGAAAGAACTGTTGAACATTTACGCAAGAGTTGCCTAATCCTTTTATCGTTCAAAATAGCTTCTAACTGGATCAAGAGAAAGAGAGAGTTTATCGTAGAAACACATCTATTATAAGCAATATTAAGATACACTTGGATGTGAGTAAAACAAACAGATCGTGAATACAGCAATGTAAAAAAAATATTAATACAACATATTTATAAAAAAAAAAGAAAAACTGTAAAAAATTGCAAAATAAAAGTACAATATTTCGTAACTGTATGCATTTTGCTTTCAGTTGAGAGGCAACTGATATTAAAAATATTTAAAAATACCCATATATGTGCGACAAAAGAGAAATACCTATAAAACAAATCATTCAAACAAATTTTTGCTAAAAAATAATGGCTCTTAAATTAATCGAAAAAATCATAAGCGGAAATGTAAAAAATCTGCGACATTCCATATTTGATCAAATCGGGACATATATGAGGATTACGTCGCATTCGATAGTCGTTAAAGATTTTTCTTAAGACTCTGTGCCGTTTCTTCCGACAAGTCGGAAAAACTTAAAAGCATTCGCTAATGTCCTTATCATCAAAGATGCCACTTTCGATGGTACTTGCTCTCCCGAGCTTAATGCTCTTATGACATTCAACTTTACTACATATACCGTAGAAATGCAATACTATGCAGCACGCGAAACACTGTCATAAACGTTTATTTGCATATATATCAAACGATAGTTCGATATTAAGAGCACATGCAAATAAGCGTTTTATGCATAATTTATCAACAACATTCATAAATATCTACTCGTTTTGCGTGAATGTGACGTAGGAGTGCGAGTGACGCATCCACTTTACACATTATAAAGTTCTCCAATTTTCAAACTGTGTACAAAAGCATTTAATCTCTTTTGTCTCTCGCACAACTTATGCGCGTCATAACTTTCTCTACTTTATGTAATATAAAGCACGATGGAAAAATCAGAAATTATAGAATTTTAATTTTAATTAACTGCTATTGCTCATAAGAATAATGGAAAGACTGGAACTATTTTCTTTACAAAACAAAGTTGCGTGAATATAAAAATTATTGTAAAGTAAATCTTAGAAATTATTTTAGACATATAGATGTAAAGTTATAAACATATATATATCTGCACATGTGCACCATGTGTAACATTTAATAATAATATTTTTCTATCACATACTTGAAAAACATAAATTCCCGAAAATTTTGTTTTTCCTTTTTCTTGCAAACGCATTAATTATTACCGACAATTTTTACCGGCGTAAGATTTCTCTCGTGAATTTTGTATAACGAGAGACGATACTTTCAACAGTCGATAAAATATTCCGGCACTCGAAATATTGATCAATATTCACCGATATGCTAAATTTATATCAAATAAAAATTTAATTGACGAAATATTTTAATAAAAGTTATCCAGCGCAAATAGTGCGAATATAATTATTTCTTGAAAATTATCTTGTAACATTTAACAAATTAATTTTTATATATCATTCATTATATATATTATTCACAGTACATTCGTGTGTACATATGATAGATATATATATATGACAGATGTTATCTTCGAATGAAAAAATAATCCCGGATGAAAATCCTTGTAATACTTTAACTAGATACCGGTAATCTTTTAAGTTCATTAAGGAAATGTTTAAATATAGACATAGTGACGTATCAAACCGTGTGAGAAGATATCAATAATAGAAATGTCCAAGAACGATAAGTTACGCGATAACGATAAATGATATGATAAGGCACTGATCATCTAATGATTAAAGAGAGTTAAACAAAAAATTACGCAAATACTTTCGCATTCGCTGAAAATATTACAAACGAGCACAATAGCCCAGAAGCCGTTTATTAATAGATTATATTTTCCGTGCTTTTACCAATTGAATCTTTATACTTAATATTTTAAAATTTAACATCAACAAATTTATAATATGATAAAGTTATTTCAAATCTTAATGGCATTATAAAAAAACAATTAATTTTATTCTTGCGAAATATGCCTATATAGCCTCACAAGATTTATATCAACATTATACATTTGGCATCAAGAGAAGGACGATTACGCCGAAACGAGAAAATGGAGAAAATTATAACTGTAGTAAAACCTCTCGAGATGATTAATGTATGGGATGTATCATCTTTCCTTCACGTCACTCGGAATATATTGATTCTTGTCAAATTTATAGTGAGTGCTTATAGAAATACTGCCATTAACGTTATACGATGATTCGAAAATACAGAAATAGAACATCTTTATCAATAAATTATTAATGTTAATTATCAATTATTATACATAAAATATGACAATATACACTACATAATGAGAATAATGTAACCCTAAAAAGCTCGAAAAATATATATATGAAAACCTATAAATATATATAAGAAAATATATATATATGAAATATGTATATGAATATACATATAAATATTTTGAAAATAAATGCATTTCAAAACATTTCAACATAAAAATCATTACTTTTTGTCGATATAAACTGCCGATAAGATAAGTACTAATTTTAGGAATATCAGATTAAAATATGGTAAATATGACTTGGAGATCAATTATAACTTTATAATCGTGAATTGTTTGTTTATCAAATAATATCTGTATATTATTCTTTATACGACTGCAACTATATATTTTCCCGTAAAGAATCGATTGGCAAATGTAAAGATATATAATAGGGTACCTCTTTCTCTATTGCTGGTTTCTCATTTTGAGACAAAAAACGAGGTATATTTAAATATATTTGTTTATAGCACTTGGAGCTGTATGCTCATTGTCTACGATTTAATCAGTTAAAACAGAAATATGCGATAAATACGGATAAACACGAAGCGACGATTAATATCTTTTTAATCTGAATTCGATAGTGTGATATTTCATAAGAAAAAGAATGACGTTTTTGATGCTATATGATAATTATATCGTTATATGAATGAATATATATATATATGCTCTTTTTATTCATTATAAAAAAATATGTCTCTATGTAGATTTTATACATTTTTTATTATATATATATATATATATTATAAATATTTGTGTGTATATATATAAGTATATTTAAACTTTATTTAATATAAGTGGAGCGTATACATATATATGTGTGTTCATTATGAAGCATCTTTTGAATGCATCATTATTTGATAAATAATTATTTTGCTCTACTTTCAAGGAGTTTATGACTTTTATAATGTAGTTAATAAACAAAAATCACTCACCGCCGTACGAACTGCCAACATGATCTCTCAAGGCTTCTGGGTAATCGTTAGGGGTCGTAGCTTCGACATCGAAAGTACCATAAGTGATATCGTGCTCTTTCTTGAGAAATTCTACCACTGACTTCATCATAAGCTGACATGTATGTCTACCAGCAATTTGACTCTGCCCGTTCGTCGCATAAACGAGATGCACTTTACGCCAGTTGTACCTAAATCATAGAAAAGAGGAATAATAAAAGAGTTTTGATAACAATATTATATACAATATAACTGATAGAGTTTTATTTAAAACTCGAATCGTACATACCGATCCATTATAGCTACAAAAAATTTGGCGATGTCCCTGAAAGCCAAATTTCCGATTCTTGTGGTCATAAAGTATTCGTCTTTACATTCGATCTTTTTCTCGGTAAAATCGAAAGTAAAGCCTCCCGTGGTAATTAACGGCGCCCCAAAGAATTTCACGACTCTACCAACAACCGCTACGCAAAAAAAAAGAAACCCTTAATTAATACACAGTAATGAGGACAAAAAAGAAGAGAAAAGAAATATAATCCAGAGAAAATATGCCATTTGTTGAATGTTATACACAAATATATAAGTGGTCTAATAAATAGCAAGAAAATTAAAAAATAATAAAAAATATACGAAAAGAGAAAACTAGATGTTCCATTTATTATTATAATGTTAAAATTAAATAATTTTGACGCAGCAGCTTTTATGCGAAGAATTATGGAAATTTTAATATAATATATCACAGCAAAAATACTATGTAATAAAATACAAGAGCTTTCACAGTTTTGATAGAAATGATTTATGTGTGGATTACAGAGTAAGCGGGATATCAGGATGGTTTTAGAGTCGTTTGTTTTCAGACGGCGAGCTCCCTGCTCATTATTATTCTTATAGGACAATTATATTTTAGAAGGAGAGAAAATTAAAATTCAACGAAAGAATTAAAGCAACATACCGACGCAATAATCACACGCTGGCCCAAGAAATAAATGTACACAATGCGAAAAACTATCAATTGCGCCGATTTGTGCATACATTGCATCACAATGGTCGTCCTGCTGCAGAAATTTCAGTTTCAACCAATAAGGTAGCAAATTTCGTGATCTCGCTTCGTACACCGCTAAATCTGTAAAAAAACACGACTTTTTTAAAGTATATTCTATTAAATTAAAAAATAATAATAATGAAAATTCTGGTTCTTGTACTATTTGTAACATAAATTTAATCATTAATCATTTTATATATAACAAACAAAATAAATGTAACCTAAAAATTCGATTATACTTGTATTATAAAGTTTAACATCAAATAAAATTAAATTTACAAAATATTATATGCAAAACTTGATTTTATTCAACTCCGCGCAATTAACTGATCTCAGTGTTCGTCTGAATAATCTTACCAAGAACCGGAAGAACCTTAGGTAAGGAAATATCGAAACTTGGGTCGGCCGGTAAGAGAACAGCAACCCTTAGCTCGCAAGAAACAACTCCATCGCGACTCGTACTACATAACGTCTCACAGTCGCGATGCAATTGCACTTCGCGACACGTCACTTTGCCCCCTACTTGGTGCACTAGCCATAAGATCGCCAACACGACGATCCTACGGGACCCCATGGATACGAACGGGAAAACGACGCGGCTTAAATCGAGCTTTTCGCTAATTCCAATCGAAAATCGCGAAATATCATTGCTTGACGTCACATACAACAACACTCTCTCTTTCTCTCTTTTTCTCTCCCTCTCTCTCTCTCTCTCTCTCTCTCTCTCTCTCTCTCTCTCTCTCTGTCACAATCACTTGATAAATATTTTTTTCATCGTGAGAAGCACCACGCGTTATATACGTAGAAAATCATAAGCTGATTCATAAGCTCATTCGTAGCCGTATTGCAGTTTCTGCAATTCGCTTTTGTGATGCATTCTCACTAATTTTCACAGTGTGTCGGACTATTCTCTCCCTCTCTCTCTCTCTCTCTCTCTCTCTCTCTCTCTCTCTCTCTCTCTGTCACAATCACTTGATAAATATTTTTTTCATCGTGAGAAGCACCACGCGTTATATACGTAGAAAATCATAAGCTGATTCATAAGCTCATTCGTAGCCGTATTGCAGTTTCTGCAATTCGCTTTTGTGATGCATTCTCACTAATTTTCACAGACAGTGTCGGACTATATCAGCAGTTATTTCACTAGCTTCCTTTGGCAAAAAGCCATTATATTCGTTTGTCGCTTTCTCAAATAAATTATTCTCTGATGAATTATACGAATTATCCATGTACATGTGTGTGTGTGTTATGGTATTTTATATACAATAGTCTTTATGATAATAAAGACGAACAATACAGATTACATGTAATTATCTAATATAAATATGTTCAGTAATAAACTTAAAAGAATTGAAAGAATTTATTCTGTGTATACACATATATACACACATGTAACTACTTCTTCATCTTTAAAAGAAAATTAACTTTAAAATAAAATATAAAATTTTAAATTAAATTTAAATAAAAAAAAAAAATCTTTGATTGTCAATTTTATAAATTAGAATACAATTTCATTGAATTAATACTTGTCAATTATTTCTGGTTTACTTTTTTTTGCAGATTTTTTAAATAAAATGTATGTAGCACCAATGTATTTTATTATGTATTATCTATTATTTTGAGAAACAAAAAAATCAGAAAAGATTATAGATAATTATAATTGCGTTACAATTAATACTAACGAAAAACATAACGTAGTTTTCTATTTAGTACTTCATATCGCGTTAGTATTTTTAAAGCGGATATCGTGCAGCATCTGCAAGCACTTCAAGAATTTTATCAGCAAATGTACGTGCGATGCGAAGAATCTTTAGGAATGAGCTGTCACAAAACTTTGCCACATCTAAATCAGCCAACAAAGATCTTTGATATATATTTGCATTCGGAAAGTACACAGGTACTAAAAATATATTGTTTCACGCGTTACGTTTCGAGTTTCGTCAAATTATATTTGGGGAGAGAAAGCAAATCGCGCGATTAAATGCTTCAAGAGTCGAAAAAATATAATTAAGGTCGCGTAATTATAAAAAAAAACGTCATCGATTCTGCGAATATTCAACAGCGAGAGACCACGATTCACATCGAGATTGTTGGGGATAAACTGGCATCTCGATCACGCGAACCGTCTTGCCCGACTGACGAGCAAGCACCAACACGCACCTATCGTCTCGCCGCCCCGTATTATCGCGCGGATATCTCGCGTTGATTGATAGTAGTTATCGAAAGCTCCAATGTGCACACTCACTTGTCTGCTCCCTTCTGCCGGGGTTGCCATGCCGCAGGATCGAGTTTCCACAAGGGTTTCCCGGGCCACGTCAAGTAACGCTTCGCTCGAAGGGTTGTTCGGTGTAGTAAACTTCGTCGTATGCCACTTTTCCAGTTAGACGCTTTTCCGTCAGATGCTTCGACGACATTTTGCTCCGATAGTCCCACACATATGCATGTGTCTAAAATATTTACAATTATAAAATATTAATATTAATATCAACTTAAAATTTTTTAAATGTTTGGATTAGTTTGATATTTTATAGGAAAGATGCTCTATTTCTCTCTAAATAGCATATATATATATATATATATATATCATATTTTAATTTTTGTGTTTTATTATTTATTATTTTCATTATATATTATTTATTATTTTTGTATTTTTTAAATTATTTTATTTATATTGCTATTCCCTGAATATATCTAAGTTCTTGGTATGTATAAAAGTAAAATGGATATTTTCGTTGATATAGCAAAGTGAAATATTTTTCACATTAAATTCGAATACATTTTCTGCGTTAAAAATTCTTGTGTTCCCGTTCTCAGCATTCTTGCTTTTAATATTTCGTAATATATTATCGAAATATGTGATAAGATAAACAATTTTCATATAATATCGAACTATATACATTACATTTTGCACAGGATCTTTGGTTACTTTTGGAATATATCGGTTTGTATAGTGCGTAGCAGTTTCGTTAATTTAGCAAAGTAAAAAATGTTTAGTATCTCTCTAGACTTTACACGGTGCCGCCGTATAATCTCTTATACTGTTTTGTCAACATTTCAATATATATTTCATATATATATTAATTGACTTACCTAAGATAAGCGACCGGGCAAACATCAGAATCCTCGCTCACACTCTCTCTCTCTCTCTCTCTCTCTCTCTCTCTCTCTCTCTCTCTCTCTCTCTCTCTCTCTCTCTCTCTCTCTGTCACAATCACTTGATAAATATTTTTTTCATCGTGAGAAGCACCACGCGTTATATACGTAGAAAATCATAAGCTGATTCATAAGCTCATTCGTAGCCGTATTGCAGTTTCTGCAATTCGCTTTTGTGATGCATTCTCACTAATTTTCACAGACAGTGTCGGACTATATCATATTATTTATTATTTTTGTATTTTTTAAATTATTTTATTTATATTGCTATTCCCTGAATATATCTAAGTTCTTGGTATGTATAAAAGTAAAATGGATATTTTCGTTGATATAGCAAAGTGAAATATTTTTCACATTAAATTCGAATACATTTTCTGCGTTAAAAATTCTTGTGTTCCCGTTCTCAGCATTCTTGCTTTTAATATTTCGTAATATATTATCGAAATATGTGATAAGATAAACAATTTTCATATAATATCGAACTATATACATTACATTTTGCACAGGATCTTTGGTTACTTTTGGAATATATCGGTTTGTATAGTGCGTAGCAGTTTCGTTAATTTAGCAAAGTAAAAAATGTTTAGTATCTCTCTAGACTTTACACGGTGCCGCCGTATAATCTCTTATACTGTTTTGTCAACATTTCAATATATATTTCATATATATATTAATTGACTTACCTAAGATAAGCGACCGGGCAAACATCAGAATCCTCGGAGAATCTTCGTGCGCGGTAAAATACTTTGACCAGCAAAATGTCGGTTGAAAGATTCTATTAATTTCCCGCGCATGCGTAGTCAACGATCACGCATCGCAAAAGAGCGAGCCCTTCAGTTGAATCTTAAATCATTAAAATGTGCGTTAAAATCGAAACAAATGGACATGCATCCTGACTATTGATTAAAGAAACAATCTAAAATCATATTCTTTCTTTTAATTTAATATTACACAAGCTATTATGTATTTCTCGATACATACCTACAAGCGTCGAAGTGTCGAAGTGTCGCGCCGCGCGCCGCAGTTCCGAACCATAATGCACGAATGTTTAGACACGCATGTTCATATGTAGATTACGCCCCGAATGCCCTCTAGTTTCATTCGATGAGGCAAACATGGCTGCCGCATCAACCAATCACAGCGCTCCATATGATTACTCGTCATGTCGGCTAGTTAATTTTACAGATTTGACTTTCCCATCTCAATGTCGGAATATACTCACAGTTTATAAATATCTAGTGATCATAAATCTTCTGATGTTTGCGCACAAGAATACGCGCGCAATTTTCATCATTAAATTAAATTGAACCGTACTTCAAAAGTATATGCTTCTTCGAGGCCATAAAAAAACTTTTTCATATTTTTTATCATCACTACAAATCACTACAGATTGGTGGGAAACAAGTACGTAAACTTGCATATTCTAATAAGATCTTTCAATATTTTTCAATTGAATTATATATCGTATATATATAATCGCATCGCTGTGGCCATCTGTTAAAACATTTATAACAAAATTTGCGTAATTTTACATAAGATTTAAGAAGTATTTATTTTTAATATTTTTATAAAATATTTATTTTTTTCAAATTGCAATATATATGCCACCTAGGAAAGGGATATTAATATATATGATCAATAAATACAATTCAAAAACTCTCTTATTAATAAACTTAGAGCAATAATAAAAATGCTGAAAATTTAATAAAAATAATAAATCTCTCTGAGAAGACTCTTCAAATTTTTAATTACATGTTATGATGCTACTTGAAAGAATCAAGTAACTTTGCATGCTTGTTTGATATGCTTATTTTCGCTTGGATTAGTCAATAGCACAATTTTACAGCGTTATTAATGCATATATATATACACTGCATGTAGAAGGGGAGAGACGAGAAGGGGATGATGAAAATGGAATTTTTATCCATAAAAAATCTAGTATTCTTGTGTAGGTGTTATATTTCGAATATAGCTTTTGCACAGCCTTTGTATCCTCTCTATTCAGTTATTCTCATACACGAAGATTCATATCGATATTAACAATAAAGCATCACAATATCTTCTTAAGGATATTTCACTGGTATTTTCAATAGTTTCTCAAACATGCACATCCTACGATCAAATCGCAGTGAGTGGCATGTTTTTAATGAGATATAAATTCACGTAATTTCTTAAATATTACATGATATCTCCAAATATTAGTTTTGTTCCATATTACTTATGTTTTCCATTCAATCGAAGAATAATTCGATGCGATGTTTTCGGCATATTTATACAAGATGCGATAGAAGTTCCCAACTAAAATCTCAGATTTTAGTTTAAGCAAAAAAAGAAAAAGGAAAAAAAAGAAAATCTTTCCATATCCCAATAAGGAAGACACAGAACACACATACACACGCGCACACAAATATGTCTTTTAATAATACCTACATACGCGTATCTGTAGATAGTGAAAGGACGATGGAGAACATTAATGTTTGTAATGCAAGAGTACGTTTTAATGCCTAGCTACGATCACTATTATTTCGCCTACTTGCTGAAATAAGTCACAAATTCAAAGACTATGTGTATGCCATATAATACTCTACCAAAGTATGCTTTATGCTTTTTTGCATACCGAGACAGTACACCCCATATTTATAATATATATAAATATATACATACCTCAAAATTATACAAAATTTCCATCAAATTGTATTAATTTTTCAAAAATCACAATCTTTGTACCCAGTTCGCGCGCAACTCGTTAATTTTCCATTTTTATCTCATTTTCACTTTATTTAACGCAGAAACATTTGTAACCTGAACGAATTGTGTACAAATATCCGCAATATCTACATATTTCTTTTTCTTTTTAACTGTACATTATAAGAGTAAAGAAATTTCACTCGTATTTTAAATGTTAATTTAATACTGCCTTACTATTTTTTCCATGTGTATTAATATAATTTGTAAAATTGTATTCTGTATACATAGCACACACTCGTATCAAAATCTGAAATTAATGTTACATATATGCGATTGAAATAAAAATGTATATTTTCTTCTATAATGAATATCTTATTTAGGGCTTCAGAAATATTTGAATGGTTATAATATTACATCTTGGAATATGTATTATTATTTACCGTGACAATTCGGTTTCGTATAACCCACTATTGATTGATAAATGTTCATAAATGATTATATTAGATCGCATTTTTACTGACCATTATTAACAAAACACACATTTAAAACGTAATTCGGTATTTCACTTTCTTCCCAATATCTCACACACTTTCACGTAGTTACTAACATTGTAGCATTATTTGATATCAAATATCTGATAACGCTCAAAGCTCGTGTGATATCATGGATTTGTAACCATTTCGCAAATACTAATAATATTGTTGTACAATATTACGATATTACATATAATTTTATAATATTGCATTATTATATTATTATGTATAATTTTATAATATTATATATGTATTTTAGTATTATATTTGCAAAGTACAAATTATTCCTTAATATCACAATTACTGGAGCGTTTCATAGCAATGCTATTCAACTACGTATGAACTTTATATACTCAGCTATGTACATAATTATAAATATCGAGATAGCAATACATTTCATTTATATATTTGCGTTTAAGATATTTGTTAAATTTAAAGAGTATTTCTTGAAATTCTAGTGAAATACCAAATCATTAAAATTTAACATTATTAAATGTTAACTTGTTAGGAATATAATATACTATAATATAATATACTTCCTAATAAATTAACAGTTTAGAGATATATAAAAATGAGAAACCTATATTATACAAAAATGTGAATGAAATGATCTAAAACGAGATCAATAGTTAAGATATGATAATAGACTTTTCTTTCTTTTTTAATGACTATTTTAGAACCACATATTACATATTTGTCTTTATATAAGAATAATAATAATAATAATGATATTTACATCCTGATGTAATGATTTTTATATTTTAAATGCAAATGAAATTGTACCAAACTGTGCAGAGGTTGTTGGCTCTTCACTCGTTTTTTAAATAACATAAGCTTCACAAAGATTGAAAACATCTATTAAAAATTATTATGTATTCACAATTAATGATTGTTTGAAATTCTAAACGTGGGTATATATAGCACTTTGCTATCAGCTATTCGCTAAAGACGGTGCAATAATCTTCCCGTTTAACAATTTCCTTTTACACATTCACACAAAGTAAGTACCCCAATCAAACATTTTACAATATTTTCTTACTTCATAAATTAATTATATAAAAAAATTATTAATTTACAATAATACATCTAACGTTTTATTAAATATAGTATCCAGCCTCCTTAAAAACGCTTCATTTTATTATGTATTATAAGTCTTTTTTTTTCTTTTTTTTGTTTTTACTTTACCTTAGGAAAATGGTCTCGATTTCTATCATGTCATAGAGCGTAGAAGAATTCCAGATATGGCCAAAGCAAACGACGACAATCGTTTACATCCATGGGATGCATTTATGTGGCTTTTTTAAACATATTGTTCGTTCCTGAACATAGTGCATCAAGCACATATATTATAAATTATAATTTATAGTTCCACGCAGCACTCAGTCGGTTTTACTTCCCTATTCCTTGGGAAATTTCTTTTGTTGCCCCAGCAAAGTATAAATCAAAGTCATTGACCAACCAAGTTTTTCCTTCAGATGTCAATGTGATTCTTTAATTGTCGTTCACACTGGACACTCATTATCGGATATTTCGTTCTTTGCATACATTATTGTGAACACATTGGATTCACTCACTAACCACTTGTCTAAAATATAAAATTTTGCAATCAAATTCTGCAAATTCACTTTTAACATATTTTTTTTAAAGCTAGTTATCCATATCAAACAAGTTGTTCCTAAGTTTTACTAGTAAAACAAATAATTTATGTATACTTACAATTGTATCACAATAAAGGAATCTCCGTATTGATGCGTCACTCAAATGCTACAAATAAGAAAAGTATTTTTCTTTCTATCGTTTCATAATTAACATACATTGAAAGCCATATTAATAGCAAAATTAAAGGAAATTTAAGATTATGTATTACGGGAAGGAGATCTAGTATCAGCTTGATTTGGCGCTCCATCCATCGGTAAGCGTCCACTGCATACACTTCCACTTGATGGATTATAATTGAGAAAGTCCCAAATGAGTATTGTATCATCATGAGAGGATGAAACAATTTGGAACTCGTCAAACTGAAGACGAAATACGCGTCCAGTATGCTCCTATAAAAAGTACAATTGTACAGAATTTAATACAAATGTGCTGAATATAATATATATAAAAAAAACACAAAAATATGTCTTACCACCAAGGTACGTAAGCATAGTGTACTAGCAACGGCACGAGGATCTAAAGCTGCTACCAAATCCCAAACTTTAATTTTACTGTAACATACAATAATAAATATGAGTTAAATGGTACAAAATCTTTTCCTCACCACATGTTTGAAAAATTATAAAATATTCTCTCTTCTCTCTCTTTTAAGGCAAAACTCTTTTAATTTACTTTTAAATTGTCAATGTAAAATTTTTCTAGTACAAATATAACATGGAATTATTTAAAATATTTTTGGTATTTTTGTACATTAAAAATATATTATAAATAAAGTTTGTTAATTTTCTTTTCCCATAAAGAGAAAAATCAGAATTATACAAATAATAATAAAAATCTCTGAGTATATAATGTAAACATGATAAATTTACTATACAATTGCTAAAAAGATAGTTGATTTCACATTGTTCAACACAAAATTAAAATCAGGATTAAGATGTAAGATCTTCATATACGTACCCATCATAAGCACCACTGACAATGTGTTTACTATCAAATCGAATACATCTCACTAGTTCCTCGTGTCCTTCTAGAACACGTAGACATGCCCCACACTCGATATCCCACAGTCGTATGGTATTATCACTACTGCCACTAACTACTAAGCGATCCCTATATTGCAAACACGCTATACCGCGCTTATGTCCGTTCAACGTTCGCACGAACTCGCAATTAGATGTATTCCATACTTTGATAGTTCTATCACCACTAGCGGAAACTATGTATTTCTCGTCAAAATCGACCACATTCACTGCTGCCCTGTGTCCCACTAGAACTCTTCTCAATGCAATCTCCGTTTGCGATGTCATATCCCAAACAGCTATTGAACGATCCTGTGAATAATAATTATTGTCAGTAATAACTTAATCACGGATTGTGGAGATTAAGAAATATAAAAAAATCCACTATTCTTTCTACTGACCTTGGAGCATGTAACCATCATGCCGTTGTTAAATCTAAGATGCAACACCGCCTCACAATGATGAATGAGCGTATTAACCATCTCGCCTGTATTAGCATCCCAAACTCTCACGGTACTATCCGAAGAACCAGATATTATAGCCTTATCATCGTATTGCAAGCACAGCACAGAACCTGTATGCCCTGTTAACACCTTAATGCATTGCAGAGTATTTCTATCCCAGATTTTAATCGTGTTGTCACGGAGTCCGGAGACTATCTTCTGATCGTCGTATTGTAGACAATAAACACCTTTCGAATTCTCGCTACGGCAATTAATTCTCTGAAGATTGAATCGGCCCATTCTCCAATTGTTTTCTATACTCTCGATATCTTTGACAATTTTTGGATAAAGAGATCTATAGAAATTGTGATTCGGAAATGCCTCGCCCGGTTTCGGTTTAAAGAGGTATTGTATCCTGAAAGCAAAATTATAAAAGTACATAGAAAAATGTAAAAAAATATATTTATACGTTTATTATGATTTATAAGTGCTCTATGCATATATACACATATTATCATATATCGAGAATTTTAAATTTTATATTTCGTAAATCTGCTCACCATCCTCTTCTTTCAGCCAATCCTCTCCAGACTGAATCTGTTCGAACCTTGCGTTCAATCAACTTTTTCCAAAGCATTCCTTCGCTAATTACTCTATGCCATTCCTTACATACCAGCTCTGCAGAAACAAGCGATTTAGCGTCTAAGTATGAAAGAATACTTTCTGCAACGTGGTCCAATCCTTTTTCTGTAAAATGTTCGATATTGTTAATCGAATTTTTGTTAATCGAAATACAATCATAAAATGTTAGACACATAAAGCGTAAATATTTCATTACACACTTGGCAAAAGTGAGATAAAGTCTCTCTGCAGCATTGGTTTGAGATACGCATTGATGTGTCCATGTTGATAGTGGCACATTCGCGCTAACAGCTGTTCGACAAAGTGCACTTGTTCCGGCTCACTCCATCTTTCAAATAGCTTCATACAAATTTCTCTTTCCTGTCCATATTGCGTGGTTACTCCTGTAGATGGTTCCTTTTTGCAACTCGGATCGTACAATATTGTCATCGGATACTGTAACAGAATATTAACAATCATACATATTTGTTCCATATTATATCATTTAAAATATATTCTAATTGCATATCGCACCGTTTTACAAAAAATTAAAATGTAATCTACATGATGATATCTCTTTTTCATTAATAATAAATTAAAACTAATGGAGAGGAAAAAGATTTATTATTATTTATTGTTACATTCATTTATCATATACGTGAATCGTGAAAATGTAAAATATATTTGAATTCCTTTATTAGCATTTTTTATACATGCATGTAACGATATTTATTCTTACTGTATCACCGATATGCCGAGTAATCGGAGCGTAAATAAATGTGAGACTAAAAATATCAGATTATACAATGTGCATTATCGTATCGATGCATACATTGTTGTTGCTCGATTAGTCGCCTAAACGGCATATATTCGATATAAATCGTGCTAAGCGTTTGCATTCAAATATTTCAAGAATTTTCAAGAAAAAAATACCCAAGATATTCAAGTTATCGTGCAAATGAAATATGTATGCATTATCAGTACAATTACGTAGCCGAGCACGTAGTTCGATCAGTCTTATATGTTTTTAGCAAAATAATATAAATTTAAAAAATAAAGCAAATATTTAATCTAAAATAAAAATATATTTGTATTTTATCCCATTTATCAAAAGTTAATTTATATATAAGAAAAATACACTAGTGAGAAATATAAATAATTGAATATAGAAGTTAGTCTTTTAAATATTTTTCTTTTACATAAACTAGTGATTATCGATATTGTTATCGGTCGAGATGATGATAGACAAACGAAAATACAAGGATTTTAAATTATATGCGCTAATTGCTCTCCCTCCTCCATTAGAAAGAACATAAGTATCAAAGATAATCGATTTTCCGCCATGTGCAAAACGTTTTTGTTAATTTCATTTATCTCTTTCGAAATAACGATGTATATATAGATAAACCTAAAAAATCACAATACGCTGATCAGATTCCGCAAAAATCATCAGATAGCTTATCCAGAACTCTCATGGGCAACAGACCGGTCCAAGTCAAATTCTAAAGTGGATATATTACTTGAAAACATTATCAGGTAGCAATAAATTATTGATATAAGAAAAGAAGTACATATCATTGTGATAAAAAAACAAAGTAGATTCTGTTTTAAAATTCTACAAAAAAGTTCGCGTCGACTTATAGAGCAATCTAATAAATAAGCGTAGAGTTTATATATTTGCTAGAACCGTGGATGCATCTTGAGATAAAGCAAAGTATCGGGTTCTTGACCTCTCGTATCTCATACGCGAGAGCTCTTATAAATTAATTCTTTACGTCCTGATTTGTATCAAGTATTTCCTCGTTAATACCGTAATCGTCGGTGATCGCATTTCAAGAAACACACGCAAACGAATATTCTAATTTTAGCGAGTAATCACTTCGATAATAATGCGTTTTAAGATTTTAGCATGAATTTTAATTCAAATTAAACAAGATCCACGCAATCGAGTCGTAAATGTAAATACGATTACATGAACGAATAACGTAGCGCTAACAGATTTATGCAAGGTAAATTTATACAATTGTCACGTAGTATTAAAATTGTTGACGTATGCTATTCAAGTATGACTAATCAAGTTCTACACAGAAATTCAAGCATGTGTCGTAAATGCGCATAAGATGCACTTTTCGCGAAAGAAAGCAATCTCACACGTTTGCACTTTCACTATTTATACGTCATCCTTATCGTTGGTACTTGTCGCCGATGTTCGATAATGTTAACCGCAGGGGATATTACCAAGAACATCCTTCGATATAGATAAAAATAGAATGTAAGAACGGGTATTGATCAAACCTAATCCTCGCATATCCTTTATTCAAATCGTTTCTATTATAATATTTTCCGCTCAAACGTTTCTTACTTAAAAACACAAAAATTGGGAGCAAATCAACAAAATAAATGTATAACATGTACTGTACTTTAATTATACAAATTAAAAATATTATATATATCTGTGTGTAATAAAAATTATATGTATATTATTGTTATATATAAATATATTAAAATGTATAATACGTGAGGATATGATAAAAAATATTACTTCTTTTTTGCTTGCAACTTCCAACTTCTTATCAAAATTGTGTGGCTAAAAAATTGTTCATTTTCTCGGTATTTGAATTCGATTCGATTAGATCAGATAATTTGAATAAATGTGATGCAGCAACTCATGCATTACTGTGCTAATCTAACTTCAAGGATATCGTACTTTAAGGTCACAACGAAATATTATCAGAGATAATTCTGCTTTGCTATGAAAATTCAAAATAAAATCCTACGATGACGTACATTCACTAAATTACGGATTTATTTCTTTAATATTTCTCTTTAAGTTAATTCTTCTTTTTAAATTTATATTCTCTCCCATATATATTAATTTTCTTCGCTTCTAACACTCGAAAAACTTTTCCTAGCTGATTGAACAAAAAATGTTATCGGCGCCTATCATCCCACGTAAGTTTACATAATTTTCCCCGTGCAACGAACCATATTAACAGAATAGCGATGAATCGAAAGATATACACATAGACACACACATAGACGGCGACACTGAGTGGGCGATCTTTTTATAAACGATGGATTACATTTGCGCGAATGGAGAAAGTGCATCCGCAAATGCAACAGGGAATGCCACAACGTCAGGAGGATGCTCAACGCGCACGATTGTCGAGAGCGAGACTTTATTGTCAAAAAAAAAAAAAGAGAAAACAAAAAACTATGCAAATGCCGCGTATCCCATTTTCACGTTGTTTCTCAACTCCACCTGGTGCAACGTTCTCAAGATGTCCAAGAATCGATGAAAAATAGGTATTGCTCATTTCTAATTTTTTGCCAGTGGTTTCAATATCTTTCAAATTATAGATCTCTGAAAATGAAGAGCTTTTTGCCTGAACTAAATTTCGAGGACAAGAAATTAAATAATAAAATATATTAAATTTCTAAACGAATTTTAAGATTCAACGACTTAGAAAAGTTGCGAAAAAAAATATGCCGTCGACATTTTTACCAAGATTGATTTAAAAGTTCCTAAGGAACGATTCTATGTACGTGCTCACTATTCCGGAACGATTCTAGGACACCTTGTTGAGTGTTTCTTTATCTATAATACAGCCGTATGTCATATACACTGGAAGTGTGTCAGACAAGAGAGAGATATGCAGGAAAATCCCGTTTATACTCTAAGACCAGCAACGATTTGTAGTCTGCGAAATCGTATATTTCGCACCTGACCTACTTGCCGTGGCGTCTCTCCTACCCCACGAAGAGAAAACCATCATAAAAGGCCCATATCGCGTTAAATACTCGTTAATAAAGGCTATGAAATCTCCGCATCACAGAAGTGACTAGAAAACAACGGCGAACGGACAGCAACTTTATACGTCCCTAAAAACAGCTCGATATATATCGAGCTGTTTTTAAAAGTTTATAAAAAATTCGTAGAAATTCGAGCTAAAAAAATGCCATTTTCTTCTAAAACGAAACAAAAAGTCATACATCTTTATATCTTTAGAACGTTGCCAAAATATTTCTCCAAATTAAAACGAGTTATACATACTAAATTAGTCAGTATTTGAAGATCTTTTAAAAGATCGTTTAAAAATAGATGATTTATGGGGACAAGAACTGTATGTTATGATCGTGATCTATTGTATGGGGACTTCCTATCGAAAGATATAGATCCGGCAGCAGTTGTCCCTTGTGTTATTGTAACACGAAGAGACGAGTCTAGCGGTGCGCGATCACCTGAAAACGCTCTTCGAATGCTCCCGGTATAACGGTATCGCGAACTCGTGTCGAATCTACGCTCTCCTGATTCTTTTGTCTTCCTGGATGTCGTCCCCATGCGCCTGTTACCACGGCTAAAGTGAACAATATATACTGGGTGTCTGATGATGAACGATGACCGGTAAAATCGATTGATTTTTCTCTTCTATCAAAAATAGAAATCATTTTTTTCGAAAGTTTTGTTAAAGCGGGATATATCCGGAAATAGCCAAAAACTGAATTTGATTAATTATATTTGCATCCTTTTCTTTTCGATCGCTTATTGCCCAGTAATTATTTATGTGTCAATATCTATTTTAATGAGATATATTTCAATTCTCGACAAGAAACATTGCCACGTATATCATGTTCATCTATTATCCAATACCTTGTACATAAAACACTGCAATTAGAGAATCCAATCTACAAATATATATTATCTTTTTTTTATATAATTTTATCATTTTTTTATTTTTTTCAACTTTGATTACATAAGTTAAACGACGCATGTGTTTATATTCCCAGTATATTTAACATAGACTGTCCGACAATCGTATTCGTATAATTTCAATGAAACTTCAACTGAATGCGTCTACAAGGGAAGTAGTGTCGCAAGACCGAAATGTACGATTTCGCGGAATGAATCGTGAAACAAGTTTTTGCTTCGTGAATTCGCACTCGTCTATTCTGGCACAAAGAGGTCGACAACTTCTGAAGGTTTAAGAGAAGCGGCCGCTGAAGATAGTGACGTTAGAAAGCGTAAAGGGAACATTAAAATTAACAATGGACTCTGACACATCGTACAAATATCCGAGTTTCAAAGTCAGGTATCCACAAATTTCAAAAATTCTCACCAATATATCTTATCTGAAAGAAACCGAAAAATATCTTATCAAATATTCAAAGATAATCATTCCTAAATTTACAGTATACAATCAGAATAAAAAATTAAGTAATTTAAAAGCAAAATTTTCAATCTAAAAAAAAAAAAAGAGAAAGAGAGATACATGATCAACTTAAAAACGTTTATTTAGTAAAAATCATACAAAAATGAAAACAGAGAAGTGTTATTTATTACGACCAAAGAATTGACCTCTTGCACGCTGTTGCCGATCCCACTGGTACAGGGTCAGATACGATATTTCGCAGTGCCTTTTTTATCTCAGGCAACGAAACCGAAACGTGGCGACGCCTAAAAAGGAAAGGCACCTCCCGCTTGACATTGGTCGTGCACGCGGATTTACACGCACGCGTCATTACGCAAAAGTCTCGGAAGGGCGCCGCGAATTTATACCCATTATACACACACGCGCACATATGTGTACTTCCTTATTATTAATTTTATCTCTCACTGAGAAATGTGAATGGATTTCCGTCTCGCGATAACGGCGAGAATGGATACGGACAAGGTGAAAATCTAACCCGCTCCAGTCGAGGATGACGAAACGGTGGATCCGCTACCGTTATCATGAACGTGCTTTTTTTGACGTTTATTTCTCGTTCTTCTCGCGTGAATATAAAGTTCATTAGCATCGATAGCTTGAGTATGTACACGGCATTATTACAATTCAGAATGAAATGGAAATGATTCTTACCAAATACGAAAGAGTAGACTTTTTTGGAGTCCACGATCCTACATGGCAACATGTGCCCGGGAGGATACTTTTATTATATTTTTCATGCTCTTACCAACAAAAACTTTTTAATATAATGGCTACGATAAATAAAATTTTAGAAGAGTAGAATTTTGTGTAAAGTAATGATATCAAAAGAGTAAAAATCTTCATGAAAAAAAAATTGTACAAAGTCTCGCTACAAAGAACCGGCTTTTGAAATAGCTATTATGTTGCATAACTATGTGCAATTATATAAGTTATTACTATATCACTAGAATAATAAATAACACTTTATTATACTTTTTCCCTGTGCAATAAATTGTCTTGGAAAATTCTTTACTCAAAAATTTCGATAAACACAATATTAATTTTATTAGTAATTAGAAAAATAACTTCTCTACACTATCTGTTTATATAGCTTTCCATTCTTATTGATCGATGCCATTTAATTTATCTAATGGAGAGGATGGACATGCATATATATTCATCAATAAGATTACGGAAGTATTCAATTTGAAATACCTGCTCGTTATACATATATATTATATATCGAGCGTTAATACTTGAGAGTAACGATGCTCGATTCCGTGAATATTGACGTAGGTAAATTCGCCCGACCTTCTCGCTCAAGGATCGCAATCTGTTTCTCTCTCTCTCTCTCTCTCTCTCTCTCTCTCTTTCTAACTTTATCATCGACAGACTGATGTTTAAAAGCCAATTGGTATTCTCTATTGGAATAGCGTTATCCATCACTGAGAAATGTGCGGAAATTACGAATGTACTAGCCGTTTAAATCACAAATATGGAGAAGCCGAATTAATTGAGATTAAAAATTAAAACGTTAAAATATTGCAAATGTCTTTTTTTTAATCTATATATTTTAGAAAATATTTTAATTATACAAAAGAAAAAGATTTAATTATATCACATTTTTAATCTATATATTTTAGAAAATATTTTAATTACACAAAAAAAAAAAAGATTTAATTATATGAAAACGAAAATCATATGTGATCCGGGATATTTTCATAATTACGAATACAGATATAGAAAAGAAAAAGAAGAGGTAAACATGTTGAATAAAATTTTAAACCAATTTTATGTAAAAACTGTTTATATATTTGCATATTAAATAAATTTAAACGGTGTTTATCCTAAGAGAGATAGGATCTTTGATTTTTTAGAAATCTTTGTTTTATGAACTTAAGATTTTCACACGTATTCTCCAGTACAGGAAGATATACGAACGTGCGTGATACATTTGGAACGATATATGATTTATGAGCGGAATGAGCGTAGGAGGGACCCATCGTCCGAGCGCGGGATAAGAAGTCGTAGGTGCACTTCCGGTAAGCCGTGTTGCAACAAACGTATGTAATTACGAAGAATAACGAGTGTTATCGCGTACGGGAGTCCACATGCTCGCAAAATTATCACATACAAGCACAAACATATAAATAAAATGCATTGTACCTTGCATGGATTAATTGCGAACGGCAGAGTCGCTAATCAATCTATCGCAATGTTCGTTACGCGAATTAGAATCGAAATATACAAGTAAACACTCGAAAGATAATTAAAACAAGAAATAAAAACTTACATCAATATACAGGGTGTCTCACAACCTCCGTACAATACTTTAATAGTGTATTCTAGAACTAAAATAGAGTCAAAAATTCTAATACAAAAATTTGTATTATTTACACCCTATATATATAATATATATTATTGTCACATTAAATTAGAACTAAGAAATCTAAAAAAACTTTAAATAATGAAAAAATCAGGCAGAATTAATTATCTGCATATATATATATATTTAATGTTTTTGTCTCTTTTAATAATAGATAGATTAAAATTAATGAGATAGGAGAGAATGTGTATATATGTCCATGCAAAGATTGTCCTTATATAACAAGAATATCGAGAAGTTATTTTTATAAGGTAAGACGATCAACTTAAACACGAATCGAAGCTATCAAGACTCTCGGTACTATCGCCGTTCTTTCCAGGAAAACGACAAAGGCAGATAAGAGAGTGGACGATGTTAAAAATCGTGACGGATCGAATCGAAGAGGACACACACACGCGCACGCAGGAGGAGTTGTTAGACCTCTCGAGAGACAAGAGGGGGGCGAAGCTAAAACATTGATTGTGTGGTAGCGCGCTGAAGACAATTGGATTCTAGCTAATCGAACATGTGTCATCCGCAAGACATTGTTAGATCTATTCTGTGTTATCGCTATTTCACGTTTCATATGAAATACGGATACGCAATTAAATCTTGGGAAGGGGAGATTAAAAGCCGTGCGTAAGATTGAACGTGCGATTGAAAATTGCCATCTTTCTATAAATTCTCCGATAATAACGTTCGATACCTTTAATCTGGCGAGGAATAAATGAGGAGTCAGCCGCAATCAGTCAGCTAACGAAGCATGATTGGCTATTTTTCTCGCTACGCGACCGGTATCGCGATCTGTACGCGTGTCTATAGATATAACGCACCGATACGAAGCCGTCTAATGAATGTCAAGGCATTTATTATAACACTTTATGTACGTACGTCATATTGTATGATCATACGATCTCTCGATCTGTAAAAGGCATCCCGTCAAGGATTCATGATTTAAGAAGGAACGGATCAGCTACGTCAAAAGTTAATGAATCTAATACATTTCGAGATTCATGAAATTGATATCGCGCAAAGCACACTTTTAGCCTTTTAAAATATAAAATTAATAATTAATTTGAGTTAAAGTAATTAATATTTATAAATAAATATTTTTCCTGAATAATTAAAATTTTTATTTTCCTGAATTTTGTGTACAGTCACTATAACAAAATTAATTCGATATAAAAGATAATATTATTTATCTTGAGATTAAATTATATACTAGGACAAATCTTTATTTAAACTCACAAATTAATTATTAGTTTTATATTTTTAAATGCCAAAAGTTCTTCTTTAGCGCAATGTCAAATTTATGAATTCAAAATATATTAGATTTTTATTAACTTTTGACGTAACTGATCTGTCCAGTCCCTCCTTAAATGAAAAACACATTGTGAGAAAATGAAAAGGGGAGACTCCACGATACGAGATGCGCGATTTGCATTCGCATTTGCAAACAGCCGTTACACGCGAAATGACAACTAGACCTCATGTCGTCCTTCATATCGATCGACATGTAAACATCCAGACACGAGTCCGTTTATTTTGTTTATTGTTTTTTGCCTTTCAAGGGAAATGTGGAGAAGTAGATGTTAGAATTGAAAGATTCGATATCAGAAAAGGAATAAGATTGAAAAACGTGTCAATCGCTATGATAACGACGCTATCATAATCCCGAAAGTAATTTGGCCACGACAATCGATCGTGACGTAAGGCAGGATCCCCTGTTAGAGAGATAATTGTCACACGTTGACAAGCATAAACAGGTGCTCAAAATGTATTCGATCGCTCCAAGTTATCTCAATTCTAAATCTTTTTCCCCTCTCTCTTCCCTTCTAATTTAAGGGATAATCGCGCGCGACGCTATCATAATTCAAGTTTGACCTCGAATATCTCGGAAGTAAAAACACGTGCAGAGTCAACGGACGGACGATTCGTTGGGTCGGTCGCGAGAAGGCACAAGATGGCGATAGTTTTTTTCGCGACGAAAGGAAACGTCGCACGGATACCTATAAATTGCCTAGTCATTCTCACCTGCTGACTCGTGTTCGTGTCGTCGATAATTTTGTCCGTTTCCATGTTGATCATCTCACTCGTATGACAACGGTCCGCTGTCCGCTGAGCAGCTTTCGGCAACTGGCGCTCCGTACGCTCTTCGCACCAACTTAGCGCGTGGCTCTTGTATAGGAGACAGAGAACTATGTATGTACGCGAGTTCCTCTCAAGAATAGCCGACTGCTGAGAGAGGCTCCGCGTCGGGAGGACGGGCGACGCGAACACGATTCTAAGCTTTTAACGCACGCTTAGCGCGCACGACAACGATGACGGTATGGCAAATGACGCTTGCTTACGAATTCTCACCATGCATCGGACAAAGTCAGCGGGACAACATTTCACCAACACAACAGCTCGCAAATAACTATGTCGCACGACGAGGCCTGGGTGGTAGCAGGCGTCTCTCGAGCCTTTTCCGTGCGTTCCGATGACGTATCGGGATCTCCTCTCGAGATCGCACGAGATATCAATCTCCTTTTTTTCCCCCCAACATGAGATCGCAATCGGCGAACTTACTCGCGGCGCAGACAGTACCGAACTGGGCCGAGCGAACGAACGACCGGACAAACGGACGGACGGATGGATGGACGATCACGGACGCCGCGCGAGATGCGACATGAGACTCGAGAATGCGCAATTCGATATGGCCGAGAGTAGGATCCCACGATTGGCCGACGCGATGATATTGCGGTCGGAAACGTCGCGGAGAAATGTGCGATAATGCCCGAGCGATAACGCCTGTCGACGCGAATCGACTGCTCCAAGATTGCGTTCGAAAACCTACTTGTCGAATAGAGGAGCATTCGATCGACCAATCAGGGACAGAGAAATCCTTTCGTTCTGATTGGCCAATCAAACGCTGCTCTATTCCGAGTGGATTTTCGAACGTATTCTAATCAGCGCGCGATAATTCGAAGATTGCATCTAAGCGCGCCCATTTCAATCCGCAAGAATTCTCTTTACAATTTTAGTTGCACAAATTTAAACACATAATAATCAAAGGAGGATAAATCTTGTTAAGTTGATCATTCTTGTTTATTATAAATATGTACTAGAATTAAAATAATAATTATATAATTAATATTAATATAATTATAATCCCGTAAAAAAAATTAAAAGCATAACTGCATAGAAATTCATCTAAAGAATGAAAAAAATAAATCTTATTAAAAAACTAAATGCAAATATAACATAATTATATAAGAATATTTTTGTACCTTCTCTATTCTTAATACAATTGTTTTAGTCGTATTTTCTTACATATATTACGTAAAATGAAATAGCTATCTTAAAGATATAAGCACACAAAAAAGAGGAAAAGACATAGCACAGATGATAGAACTGAAACAAATAGATGTATATGTACAAATTTTAATATATTTAAAAGTTTGTCTTTACTCATACAGAGATATATATTCTTTTGTATTGGTACACAAAATACAAGTCTCAAAGGTTTTAACCAAATCAAATATTGATTAAAATACTTTATGTGATGCATAGATAGAAATAGTCTCCACTTTTATATCCACTTAATTTGTTCACTCTTGTTAGATTTGATATCCGATTGAATTTGTAACGTAAGCACAGTATATGGTTTATCACAATATGGCGAATCTAACGAAGGATAATAATGTCTGTAGCAAATATATGTTAAGCAATAACCTATTATTGATCCTGCCGCTACGTCTAAAAGAAATTACATATCAATAAAAATATAGGATTAAATTATCTCGACAACAAAATAGTTTACCTTGCCAATGATGATGATAATCGCATGTTCTACTTAATGCGATAGTAAGAGCGACGAGAAGCGGCAAAAAAAACATGCACAATCTCCACGATTGTCCTTTTCCTGCCAGACTGAATGTATGTAGCTTTCCAGATAGATATAAGGAGATGAAACCAAAACTAGCGAACGCAACTAGAAGATAAATTTATTATATAAATATTCTAGTAGAATACTAGAAATGTATGTTATCTTAATGTGTTATTTTTTTCCAAATCAACTGACACATTTATGCAAATATAGTTATAAAAATCAATTGGTCAAGAAAAGAGGAAAATATTTATATTTGCAAATGTTACTGCTATTAACATACACGAGGAATGTCCGCTTGGAAATGACTTCTTTCCATCCCTAATAACAATTGGATCTCCAGTACATTTAAATCCCGGATTTATTTGCCCATCTGGAAAACACCGCCAGAAGAAATCTGGCCTTGGACGACCTGAAAATAGTGAATAATAAAGTAACTGATATTAAAAAATGTATAAATTTTTTTATTTAACATAGATCTATTCAGCTCTCTCTTTCTCTCTCTCAAACATTTTGATAATATTACATACCTACTATAAGTTTCAAAATATCTGTAATAAGACCATTAAATCCTAGAGCTAATGTTACAGATAATACTGACTGTTGAAGATCAACTTTATCTTTGTGCATTATAAAAAAGAAACAAATAACAACAATCGGCATCATAAATACAAGAGGCTGAAAAAAAGAAAATTATTTTATTTAATATGCATTATTTACAACATGTGATATCTTGTCTATAAATATATATACCCATAATATTGTGGTTGGAACAAAAGAATCTGTTCTTGGGTTTCTGTACAACCATAATTCATCTTCATGAATTGTTCTCGTAAATGGTTCTGCTTTTTCTAGCTCCCTACAAGTCATAAAAAATTCAAAATATTCCGCTTGATTAATGATATCATTATGATAAGAAAAGGCAAGCAATTGCTTGTGTATTAAAAAATTAAATATGCAATATATATACTAAATCTCCATCTTTCAGAAAAATTATTAAATTATTAATTGTAAAACATTATTAATAATCATGTTGATAAAATGATATGTGTTATATTAATAAAAATATTAATAACTCTAAAAACACGTTTTTGTGCTTTTATGTGAAATAATAATGTAATATAATATGCATACATTGCACACAGACATTCTTTAATAAATATTAATTAATCTCCTATATAAATACTAAAATTTAATGACACATCACAGAGTACTAATTGTAGCAGACTAATTGTTTAATTGCACATCCATTAAACGTCAACTTACACGAATAGCACTGCCAGAAAGACACGTAGCAGAACGTCAAACCAAAATCCCGCCGAAAACTTAAGTTTGCGTACGTTAGTCATCTCAATATGTTACACATTTAAACTAAGATCGTACCGATTTCGCTATATAAACAAAGAATATAAATTGTAATATTAAACTTAAACAATTCATAATGTAATACCGCGGCTCGCGTCGACGCGGAAGTGCAGTCAGATTTAGGACACCCCATAAATGAAACGTCGATACCACATATGTATGCAAGTCGAACGTTATCGATAGTAATCTCGATTATAATCTGTACTTTGTACTTTTCTTCCTTTTTTCAACTAAAGCTTGAATTTATCTATTTCTTATATTATTTCACTACTCTTGTATTTTTTTATGTATCTTACATTATTTATTTTCCTCTTCTCTCACATTTTTATATCGTAAATTATTAAAGAATGGATGAACTGACTGCACTGTTCAAAAAAGTGCAGCTAAAGCGAATAAATTCGCAATGGCCACATGTGCTCGCATACATATAAGATATTAATGTAATTTACATCACATTCACATACATACGCAAAAATCGTTAACGATTACGCGAAAATGGATGCATATATTTGTGTATGCTAATTCTTTTAGTTTTTATTACGTGATACAAAGTGACATTAAATATTTGTCAGTGTATAAGTCTGTACAATTGGAATACTTCAGAATATGTGGAATAATTGCAATATTATCGATAAACTGCAGCAAATGGTAGCACACGATTGTTAATTTGATGAAGACATAAGATTAAAGACATATTTGTTGTCTAACGTGGCATAAGTATAGGTTAGTTTTCGGATGTGTGTGTGTATTCTGTGTATAAAGATTTACATTTAATTAAATTTATAGAAAAGTGTAAATGTACATACAACATTTTAGCATTAATGTACATAATTATTTGGTGCGATGGTAGTAAGTTTATACCAATCATTTCAGCACACAATATATATCATGCACAATATTCATTTCAAAGAATTCTGTTTTACCAGTATGAATATTAGTTTTTTTTTTATATTATAATGTTATATAATAAAACGTTTGGGGTAGACACAGAAGCATCAATTGTATATGTTTATTTTAGTTACTGTTGGTAAATTTAATATTGGAAATAAGACAACATAATGTTAACATCTGTATCCACGGCACCATCTACATCTGTGGGCAGTTCTGGCTTACCAAGTCCAACCACTGACATATTTGATGACAATTCAAATAGAGTAACAGTATATTTACATCAACTCGCTGGAAATTATGAGATGGATGTTGATGTAATATTCAAAGATCATTGTTATGCCCGACCCTGGAATTGGAAACCAGAAAACATTTATGTCAAACCTGTAAAAAAGTTATTTTTCTCAAAAAACACTGCAACAAAGTAAGATTATCGATAATACGTAGATTAAATTAATCTTTAAAGTAATACAATATAAAATAATAATTTTTGTCCTATTGTAATATATTATTTTTTATATCTTAGTGATAAACATAGAAAGGATGAAGAGATTGATGTGGAAGATAATGGCAGCGAACCGTTGATACCACTCTTTGATTTAACTAGAACTCGGCATCTCATGGACGAATTTCAACGTTTAGCGAGTTTTGCGCGACCTGAAAAGGAGGAGGATTGGGAGGAGGATATAAACAAAACTTTATGGTCTTCAGTTCAAAATCGGATATTCAGCAAAGTGACTCGGATATTGAGTTCGGAGAGACTTGCGAGATTGGCCAAGGCTAAGAGCGCAATGGAGCCCATTTTTCGAAGAACGTCCGTGGATATCGCGGCGAGACGATTTCGGGAAATGTTAGCGTCGACTGGATGGGATTGGAGATTGGCTCAATGGCTGCACAATCTATTGTTCGAGCATCTCCCTCAGGAATATTTGGCAATCTATCTCGATATCTTACAGACTCTGAGACTAAAGATTCCTCAGCTAATCGATAAGATGATTGCCGTACAACCGAATATTAACGCTAGAGGAGGTTCCATTACATGGGAAACACTCGGATCGCTCTTGAAACGATCTTGGGATCCGGTCGCGCCGAGTTTAAACGGAAGTCGACTCGTAAATATGATAATTTATAATCATTAATATATATTATATTACATTGCTCAAGTATGTGAAAACAAATCAAATTAATTATAGAAGAAACTGCCTGGAAATCCGATCTTGATAATAGTACCTTCCGGCATCACATCAACTGTTTCTTCTCGTCAACATAAATGGATCACGCAGTTAGGATCGTTAGGCATGGTTGCTACTGTTCATACTCAAATGGGATTGGCAGCTAACAGAATGACCATGATGGTATGCATAGATCAATTAGTTCAGGCTACGAGAGCCAAGATACAAGACGTTAAAAACGACTGTCCTGGTAGACCGATCATACTCGTAGGTTTCAATACTGGTGCGGCACTTGCTTGTCAGGTATAAGTTTATCTTTTCCTAATTATGTATAACTCTCTCTCCTCATTATTATTGATTTTTACTTACTCCATGGTATAGATTGCCCAAATGGAACATGTAACCGCTGTTATCTGCATCGGATTTCCTTTCTCGACGGTCGAAGGAAAACGCGGTACGCCCGACGACATGTTGATGGACATTCGCTGTCCCGTTATGTTTATTATCGGACAAAACGCAACCCTCGTTAGGCCAGACGATTTGGAGGATCTAAGGGAGAAGATGCTAGTGGAGACGAGTCTCGTGATCGTAGGCACGGCCGACGATTATCTCAGAATATCTACGTCCAAGAAGGTACTGGAGGGTATCACACAGAGCATGGTAGATAGATGCATACTGGATGAAATTGGCGACTTTATTGGTAGCATTTTGCTGCAACCTCATCCGTTACCGTTGCGATCCACGATGCCTGTCTGCGAGAACAAGAATAAAAAAGATTCTCACAAACGAAGAAACTCGACGAGCAGTTCCGTGGAAAGCGAACCTAATTCGCCGACTGTGAAAAAATCTCGGCCGAACACGCCGGTATCCTCCGCGCCGTCAGTTGCAACGAACGCGACGACAAATTCACCTTCCAAAATTGGTACCTTCAGTACTCAATCTAACCTTGTGCAGATGGGTGGACAACAAACAAATCATACCTCCACTCTGAAACGGAAGCGACCCACGACCAATCAGAAAAATCAATTAACAGAACATCTAAAGACTTCTAAGATTCCTGGGCAGGTAATTATTACACAAACGTATAATTTAACATATAATTTCATATATACAATTTATGAAATAATCATCGATATACTTGATGTGTGTGATACATATTGGCTCAAATATTACTTGAACTTTTGTAAGAGGAAACGAGGCATTCTTTAATTAAAATATTTGTAAATGTATTGCAATATATTTTGAATATCGCAATACATATATACATATATACTCTCTTAATAATGAATTATATATTATTTTTACAGACAAATATTAATGCGGAGAACGGCATAACGCTCAATATAGGTACGCTAGCGAGTCTAGCCCCAATAGGACCAATACGTTTAGCACCTACTACAGTGAATCAATTCGCGACCACTCCCTCCAAAACATCTAACACGACCAAAGCCGCGACCGCAACTGTCAAAGTACCGAAGATCATTTCGAATGTGCCGTTGCAAAATGTTTCGAAGATGAAAACTATAGTATCCTCCAACAAGTCTTATTCAAATGTAATGTCGAACAATTATAGACAAATCAATGTAGCTGACAAGAGTGGAGATGCGAAATTAGTGAACGTTTTCACTACGGGAAATCAAATTAGAGTTAATACAGCTACCGGAGGTAAGATATATGTTATAATTCGTTTAAGCTATCGGGGTATGTGTATAGGCGATTAACCGAAAATACTTACATCCTTTGTTCTCGATTAAATAGCGGGAAGTAGTAAACCTGCCTGTGCGACAACTGGCACGTTGTCCAATCTTTTGCAAAGTGGAAAGAGCTCGATCGCGCTCACGAGTGGTGCATCTTCTGCCCGTGTATCGTCAGCTTCCAGTATTCTACTAACGACCACCAATTCATCGGCGAGTAACATAACATCGTCCACAACGACTCCTTCAAAAGGTAGATTACTATTATCTAATCAATTATTAAATAATTTATCTGAAACATAGCGATAAATATAGCCTATATGAAATTTACGGATCTATGGTCAATTAAATGACCTGATGTTACAATTTGTGGTTCTATTTAGGATTTTGATTTTTGTACAGTCAAACATTCATATATAATGATATCGGTTCGTAAAGTAATATTCTCCTCTAGCGCTACTTTTTATTACTTATGTATTTATTGTGATCACGTGACGATGTTAGAGACAAAACGACATTTTTATTCTGTGCATTGTTAGAGTATCATTAGAATAAAAGTGAAAATTGAATGGAAACTTCATAATAAGGACACAAGATTTGATCTTGGCAACTTTATAATACAAGAGACAGTACCTAGCAGATTGGGCACTATATACTTAATAATGCGAGAATAATCAACATGTATTTGCTATATTTATAGTCATTAATTTCGAGAATTTATTTCTATTTATATTTTCAAGCACAAGTTATTTTAATCATTAAACCAATTACTTTAGTACAAATAAGCAGACTTACATTTTTATGATACTTATTTAGTATGTGGCATATACATATAATGAATATCGCACATAGTTAATAAATTCTCAATTTTATATAATTTTATTCTTTTTTTTTGTCTTTGAGCAGAGTTTATCCATATATAGATAACACAGATAACACATTTTTATACTAAATTTTTACACTTGTACATAAAATGGCACAAACTACATAATTTTCGAAATTGCGCGATACGTGTAATTCTGGTACATAATAAATTGTATCAAAAAAAATGGACTAAAAATTCTCTCAGTTTCTTATAATATTTAATAATCTAGTATATAAAACTATAATTAAAACGAAGCATATGAAAAAAAAAGTATTAGAAATTATAATAATTTTGTTACGAAGTTTCTAAAATATTGTGTGATTAAATCTACGTAAATATGTATATATATATTTTAAACTATATTAGGAACCACACACACACAT